TTATAACAGGCTCAAAGTTCAGCATTTGACACAGTTATACCTGATCTAACCAGATTCAACAATGAGTGTTAACCTGATAAATTAATATTTTTCCAGCATTATACTTTGATTAATAAGAACTTTGAAATTTTTTTTCCATAAATCTGAGCATATATGATGGATCTGGAGTTGATAAGCCAACGTAAGTTAACGCCATCAGGTTAAGTATATTCAGACACCTTGTAGTCTCACACAACTTTCCACAGTTTCATCTGTTTCAAATTGTTTATTTTTAGGTTCTTGTTACGGCCTGTGGCCATAGCAAATCTGTGTTAGCTGCTGTGTTGTGTTTCTTTACTGTGTTTTAAGAATCTCTGCAGGTCCTTCCTCCAATGAAGAGCAGTGAGCTGCTGATTGGACCATGGATCATGTGACTGGGTTCAAAAAGCCGCTCTGACAGCTGCTGGGAGAGAGAGAAGCGAGTGTGAGTGAACTGGTTGACAGCAGACTCAGACCTGGCCCTGGTTTCCAAATTCTTTGTGTAATTTTGTATATGTGTCAGCGTGCTCCCTGAGAGCCGCCAAACGTGTGTATATGAGTCCACTGCTTATGTGTGCATAGGCTGAAGCGAAGCGGTGAGCCGCGTTTTCGTTTTGAACTGTTATCTCCTGTTTCTGGGCTAGGAAGCGAGGGATAGTTATTGTCATTTGTTTGTTTTGTTTCTTTCTTAGGGTTTAGTGAGTGTTTCACTGGCGGGACTTAGTTGGTTTTGTTTATTATTTTGGCCTGGGTCCACCCTGGAGGTATGCTTCTTGACACTGAATAAAATCACCTTTTCTTTTAAACTCATAACCAGGTTTGGTTGTTTGGATTGGGAACCAGGGTGGGTACTTGCTTCTCTCCCCCTGAATCTTATGTGCGTCTCTACATGCTTAGACTAGGAGCGCAACAGTTCTACATGCTTTTCTGATGTCTGATTATAGTACAATTTATTTCACTGTCATAAATAAATCTTTTAAATGTAATTAAATGTTTTAGAAATGAATCACCGAGATTTTAGATATTTGACTGCAGAGCAGAAAATAAAGTTTTTAAAGTTAGAGCATACTGTAGAGGTCTGGGCAGAGTTATTCTATTGTGGCTCAAAACAGTATGTGTCTATGAAAAGTCATACAGAGGTCACTTCAAGAATAGAAATAGCACTGATCAAAAGTTTGTTCTGGTGGTGGTGCAAATTTGTTGTATTTGGTTCAAATAGTAATTTGTACTTTTGAGCTTTTATTAGTTTCCTGCCTGCATGTGTTTATTTAATTCTTTACTGAAACATCTGTTTTTAACATTTTTATGTTCACCAAAGAAAATAAAATAAAAATAAAAATAATGCTCTATGGTGAGTGTCATCTTTAACTTTGATATAAGCATTTAAACCAGCTGTAGAAATAAATAAACAAATCTTTTTTCCGTGCTTTCTCTACTTTTAAAGCAGAGTCTCAGGTGGTTGGTCAACCAGTAGTTGCAAAAAAGCAAAAAGGTGAATACTCTATTCCACCTTCTATATTTTCATACACACCATGAATCACAGGTGAAAATCTGCAGTGTTCCATTTTCAGCCATATAACTCTCAGAATATGTCGTTCCTATGCTTACTTGTATTTATCTATTCAAAAGGAAATCCTTCAGCCATTTGAAAATCCGACCTGTACTGGCCATTTTTTTCAACTTAATGAATAAACCATGTCTCCACATCAAGTCATGCTTTTTCAATATCAAAAAATACTACTACACCTTCTTTACTTACCTGTGCTTTTCTAATTTAGTTTTCTAAACATAAAATTGGATCCATTGGATACAAACTATCATTCTCACCCCACTTCCTACCTTGTCCTTTTCTACCCGAGACCTCCGTCAAAGAATAAATGTCCTCCAGGCCTGCAGAGGGCGCCAAACAAACTGTTTGCAAAAGATGGATGAGTGAATTTTTAAGTGTTTTAAAACTAATCTCACATACGTGACATATTTTTGAGTATGATTATTTTCCACTTATGTGGATATAGTATATGTGCAGCACTGATTTGGTTTTTAGTGAAATTCATAAAAAATTTTAATAACAAACATCAAGTGAAAAAAAGGTTTTGATAAAAAACAATTTATCTCAAAAAACATTCAGGAACATTGTACATGTACTGTTTTGTATTTAAGTGTTGTAACCTTTTACTGTAATCCACAAAACAAAGTCACGAAACATTTCACCAATATAAAGGCAGCAGAATTTGAAGCATATATGAAGTACATCTTATGAAAGTTTGACTTTATTTGACCCTGAAGAAGATAGAGGTCCAAAGTAACTTGATATTGACAATCCCCATGTATCATTCCCTACATGCTTTCAGTACCAATGGTAAATGGTAAATGGCCTGTATTTGTATACCAATGGTGACATATAATGGGCTCTATATAGCATTATTGTTATTTTGACTTTCAGGTTGATCTGTTGGATTTAGGGAGAGGTCAGAAGTCAAATCTGATATGATTTTTTAAAAAACGTTTATGCTTTGAAAATGTTGACATTACCCAGCACACTTAAGTTTTAAGGCTTTTTGTCAGTTTTCCACAAACAAATCATAAAGTCTACCTTGAAGACCTCGGTGAATTTAAGCCAGATTTTAATGGATTGTTATAACATGATCCTGCTCTACAAACTACAGAGTTTTATGAGAATACGAAAACTTTTAGAGCTGTTGTGTTTACAGACAGAATGAAATGCAAATCCTACCAAAAACATGAGCTCTTTGTTGAAGCTAATAAGAAACTGCTGAAACCATTTTGAGCTCCTCTTTACACATGATCTGTACTGATCTGATGCAGTATGTGTTAAAGCGAAACCATCTCTGTGTTCGTCATGCTCAGTGTTTATCTGATACACCAAGGAATGTGCAGCAATGAACGTTAGAAACCGATCCGACCGGATTGTCTGTTTTGTTTCCTGCGCCGCTCCAGTGACTCGTTTCACTTTGACAGTTTGGATTACTGTGTCATAGTCTGGGGTCTATCTGTGGTAAGTCTTCTTTTATTTGTTTGTTTTGTTTTGGGGGTTGTTTTTCAGTCAGAGAACAAACAAAAAAGAAGCTTACACTACAATTTGTGGTAAAAAAAACAAAGGGATTTTTTTCTACAAGTTACTGAATAAACTGTGAATAAAGTTAGAGTGTTGTTTCTCTGTGAAACCGTGAGCACATACAAGATGACAAATGTCTGTCAGTTGTTAAAAGCTCACACAAAGCTCGAACTGTAGCAGCAAAGTGTGAGAAAAGCTGTATTTATGTTTATAAAGAACTGTTCTTGGAGTCGTGCAGAGACCTGCACTTAAAGCAGGACTTTGTCTCATCGAGGTGACTTAAAAGAAACTCTGAGCTTTCAGTTTTAGTCATGTGCTTGTTACGGCCAAGAGGGCCAGGCGGTGAGTGTGGACTCAAATGCAGACAAAGAGGGTAAGCTGGCGTGATGCTTAGTTTAATTACAGAGCAGGAAAAAATGTAGGCTATGAACTGTGAAGGCTATGAACATGAAGCTCAGACTGTGCGCTATGACTAGATGCTAGATTTCGTGACCGGATCCTGGGAAGGAAAAGGGGCAGCGGCCTGGGTGGAGGTACAGAGAGTCACTATTACGAGAAGAGACAGGCAGTCAGTGGCAGTCTAGTGAATCTCTGTCGGTGGATTCAACTATGATGGATATGGCTTATGTGTAGCACCTGAAAGTGGCATGCGATGAGGGTGTCCAAGGGGTCCGGGTGAGGAGAGGTCCAAGAAGTGTCCGGAATATACTTGGAGCAACAGACACTACTTAAGTTACACTGCTATCGAGCAGGTTAATTTCAAAATAAAAGGTCATAGTCTAAGCTCCTGGTGAGTGTTTGATGGGTCACCTCCAGCCTTGGCTGAGCCTTTGTGCTTTTCTTTAATGTATTTGGCAAATATAAAACACAGGGGTGTGTTTACTACACTGTCAAATAACACTTATGCCCTCCTCAGGACTTTTGATTTTGGCTGTGTTATAGCTTGTGACATGGATTTTTTTTCTTTTTAGTCAAATTTTTGAAATCTAGTGTCTTTTGCTCTTAAATGTCATCCATACTCTGCTGATGTATTTTGCACCATTTTGACACCTTTGTGTGCAAAAATCTGCACGTACAAAATCTCCCATAAAATCCTCAAACAACAATATTTTTCTCTGCTTTTTTCATGAATCACTTAATCAACTTGAGCCCTTTTTAAAATGATCAAACATTAAATTATTTTCAGGATTTTAAGCCTTTAAATGCAGTTGGAGTGATTTATATGGATGTATGTGAAACAATTTTCAGATCAACATCTGATTCATCAACGAGCACATTTATTATGCAAACTGCACCAACACCGTGATACCAATACCAACACACGGTGGCACGGTGGTAATTGGAAAATCCAAATTGCCATTAGGTGTGAATGTGAGCGCGTGAGTCTGTCCCTGTGTGTTGGCCCTGCGACAGACTGGCGACCTGTCCAGGGTGTACCCCGCCTCTCGCCCTATGACAGCTGGGATAGGCTCCCGTGCCCCCCGCGACCCTGAAAAGGAGAAGCGGAAGCGAATGGATGGATGGATGAACTGCACCAACACTGAAACTGAAATATCCAGTGTTTGAATATGTGATCTATGTGTGTGTTTGGGAGAAAGAGACAAATGGATTCAGAGAGCTCGTTACTACCCACCTCTGCGTTTCACATAGGTATACCTGCCTTGTCTGTGTGTCCAAAACCAAAAGATATAACCATGCAGCATCAATTCAAGTTAATGTATCACAAGATCTAATTCAACATAAAGAAAGTAAAATATTTGCTGATGGTGATATATCATATGAACATAAACATCTCACACACACATACCTACACGACACACAGACAAGGTATTCTTTGTCCACATGTATACCTATGTGAAACGCAGAGGTGGGTAGTAACGAGCTCTCTGAATCCATTTTTCTCTTTTATATATATATGTATATGTATATATATATATATATATATATATATATATGAGCGAGACAGATAAATATGAAGGCATGCCGGCTCGGACGTCGCCCGGATCAACAAGGTCCGCGTCAGGTGTTGAGGAACCAGGGCACCCTGACGAAAAGTGGGCTACTGGAACAAGAAGGCATCGGTGGGCAAGAGATGAAAACAGGGCGTTGTTGGAATGCTACTACGCAAGTAACCCCGGCGGAAGGGGCTACATGAATAGGATGACGGACCTATGGATTCTTCGATACCCAACATCCACAATGACGGCGAAACAACTAGTAGCTCAGTGTTCCAACATTCGAAAGAAGGGACTGCTCTCACAGCTAGAGATTGACGAGGTACAACACAACCCAGCCAACATGTATATATGGGCCCCACCTGGTTTTTGCTCGGGCTGGATGGGTACCATATGGGCATGGGCTCAAACTGGGCTTTTTGTATGGGGCCTACTTGGGTTCTTCACATTAAACCCATATGGGCAATGCCAAGTGGGCACTTTTAGTAGGTCCTAGCTGGGTCAAACATGGGAAACACTTAACTTGGTCCAAAATGGGAAACACATGTAGGACCCACTTGGGTTTTCCACCTGGGATAGACATGGGCAAACACAGTAATTTAAGGATAGGCTGTTGTTGTGTGCCCCAGGTGGGGCAAAGTGAGGTAATCAATATATGTTTTTAGCACTGATAACACAGGTGGGGCCCACCAGGTCAAACTATATGGGTCACACATGGGCAAATGCAAGTCAGACCCTGAAAACATGTCTATGTGGGCCCCAGGTGGGGCAAATGTGAGGTAGTCAATATATATTTTAGCACTGATGACACGTGGGGCCCACATGGTCAAACTATATGGGTGGCACATGGGCAAATGCAAGTCAGACCCTGAAAACATGTCTATGTGGGCCCCATATGGGTTATGTTAAGTTAATATGGGCATATATTTTACGTGGGCTCAAGATTGTTTAGTATATATGGGACCCACTTGGGTTTATCACATGAAACCCATATGGGCAATGCCAAGTGGGCACTTTTAGTAGGTCCTAGCTGGGTCAAACATGGGAAACACTTAACTTGGTCCAAAATGGGAAACACATGTAGGACCCACTTGGGTTTTCCACCTGGGATAGACATGGGCAAACACAGTAATTTAAGGATAGGCTGTTGTTGTGTGCCCCAGGTGGGGCAAAGTGAGGTAATCAATATATGTTTTAGTATCAATGACACAGGTGGGGCCCACCTGGTCAAACTATATGGGTCACACATGGGCAAATGCAAGTCAGACCCTGAAAACATGTCTATGTGGGCCCCAGGTGGGGCAAAGTGAGGTAATCAATATATTTTTTTAGCACTGATGACATAGGTGGGGCCCACCTGGTCAAACTATATAGGTGGCACATGGGCAAATGCAAGTCAGACCCTGAAAACATGTCTATGTGGGCCCCAGGTGGGTTATGTTAAGTTAATATGGGCATATATTTTATGTGGGCTCAAGATTGTTTAGTATATATGGGACCCACTTAGGTTTCTCACATTAAAGCCATATGGGCAAAACCAAGTGGAAACATATAGTAGGTCCTGGCTGGGTCAAACATGGGAAACACTTCACTTGGTCCAAAATGGGAAACACATGTAGGACCCACTTGGGTTTTTCACATGGGTTAGATATGTGCTAACATAGTCTTTTAAAGAAAAGCTGTTTTTGTGTGCCCCAGGTGGGGCAAAGTGAGGTAATCAATATATGTTTTTAGCACTGATAACATAGGTGGGGCCCACCTGGTCAAACTATATGGGTCACACATGGGCAAATGCAAGTCAGACCCTGAAAACATGTCTATGTGGGCCCCATATGGGTTATGTTAAGTTAATATGGGCATATATTTTATGTGGGCTCAAGATTGTTTAGTATATATGGGACCCACTTGGGTTTCTCACATTAAAGCCATATGGGCAAAACCAAGTGGAAACATATAGTAGGTCCTGGCTGGGTCAAACATGGGAAACACTTCACTTGTTTCAAAATGGGAAACACACGTAGGACCCACTTGGGTTTTTCACCTGGGTTAGACATGGGCAAACACAGTCATTTAAAGAAAAGCATTTGCTGTGAGCCCCAGGTGGGGCAAAGTGAGGTAATCAGTATATATTTTTGGTACTGATGACATAGGTGGGGCCCACCTGGTCAAACTATATGTGTCACACATGGGCAAATGCAAGTCAGACCCTGAAAACATGTCTATGTGGGCCCCAAATGGGTTATGTTAAATTAATATGGGCATATATTTTACATGGGCTCAAGATTGTTTAGTATATATACCACAACTTGAGGTTCCTTAACATATATATGCCCATATTAATTTAACATAACCCATTTGGGGCCCACATAGACATGTTTTCAGGGTCTGACTTGCATTTGCCCATGTGTGACACATATAGTTTGACCAGGTGGGCCCCACCTATGTCATCAGTACCAAAAATATATACTGATTACCTCACTTTGCCCCACCTGGGGCTCACAGCAAATGCTTTTCTTTAAATGACTGTGTTTGCCCATGTCTAACCCAGGTGAAAAACCCAAGTGGGTCCTACGTGTGTTTCCCATTTTGAAACAAGTGAAGTGTTTCCCATGTTTGACCCAGCCAGGACCTACTATATGTTTCCACTTGGTTTTGCCCATATGGCTTTAATGTGAGAAACCTAAGTGGGTCCCATATATACTAAACAATCTTGAGCCCACATAAAATATATGCCCATATTAACTTAACATAACCCATATGGGGCCCACATAGACATGTTTTCAGGGTCTGACTTGCATTTGCCCATGTGTGACCCATATAGTTTGACCAGGTGGGCCCCACCTGTGTTATCAGTGCTAAAAACATATATTGATTACCTCACTTTGCCCCACCTGGGGCACACAAAAACAGCTTTTCTTTAAAAGACTATGTTAGCACATATCTAACCCATGTGAAAAACCCAAGTGGGTCCTACATGTGTTTCCC